TAATTGTTTTTAACTTTTTAGCTCATGCACACTGAATGAGAATTACTTAAAATTACCTTGAACATTTTTACATTGTCACTGTATTTTCCAACTATAAGTTTATAGGTTCCATCCTCGAGAAATCCACGAAAATCTCGGAACGGTATGGTAGGCAATGAAATAGTCGCAATACTAGTGAAGCAGCCGGAGTAGACTGAAGTGATTATGAATGCAAATATGAACAGCGTCAACTGGGCCAATTTAAATGACAATGAACTCAAACGCAATTCTGTAAATTTTGTGCAAATTAAAGAATGTCTTAGACAACTCCTTAAGAATTGAATGATAATTTCTAAATAATAATGTTTAAAAATAAACAAATAATTAAGCCGTATACGTTACAACCATATGTTATAATACTTTACTTAATATAAGCCCATGTGTATTTAATCAGTATTAATTTTTTTGATTTTTTAAGAATAAAAAATATATTTTTGACTTTACTCTTCCCTAATTATTGTACAATTATATGTTGGAACAGTTATATTCTTCATAGACTGTAACAATAATACAAACAAATTTAAGTTTTCCAAAGGATTATTGTGGCATTATGTTTGAAAAAATTTTTTTAAAGGTCGATTTTTATAAAATTGTACTTATTTTTGATGAAATTTAAAGTTATCACTTCTTACTTATTCTTTTTTTTTCTTGTGATTATTATAAAAAAAATTAGAAGGCTACGTCTATTACGAACTTTTAAACTACTTAATGTCTTCTCTTACACTTTACCACGGTTTTTGTAATCAAAACATGAGATTTTACTTATAAGTTTTTTTTCTCTACTTTATGTTATTATCTTCAGTAAGTATTATGAGTCTTTTTCTTGCCTTATTATTATAATATCATCTGTATTACTGAATTAATACGGTTTACAGGAAAAATTCGACTATTACAAAAAAAAAGTTTTTTCTCATTCTTTTAAACAGATCATACTGCATTCCTTCAATTTTTACAGTACGTAAACAACCGATATTTTTAAAACGTACTTTAGATTGTGTAGAATAAAAGTGTTAAATTTCTTTAAAGATAGGGTCAATATTTAATTTTTTTTTCAATTTTCTGAAAAACAACTCATCCTATCAGGGCTTCTCAAGATTCATGCTATTTTTCATGATATAACGTATTTTTTGTACTCAAACACTTTCAAAAATTCTTCATTCTTTACTTCTGCTTTTTAGGTCTAATGAAAGCTTAAACACATGATTAACGTATAATTTTACACAATTATCTTAGATACCAGTTATATATTTTCAAGTACAATTAAAGTTATTATAAGGACAGTCATTAACTTTTTTTACAAAAAATAAAGTTAAGGTGTATCTGTACAAAAGATTATCGTATAAAAACACAATCTTTATTATTTCACTTCTGAATTATTTTACCATCCTAAACATCCCTTTTTCACTGTCATGGTTACTGGATTAGTATAAGAACTAATACTTTACCTGGAAATCCCTGAGAACAAAAAATTCTCCACACGTGCATAAAACTATCTAATAATTTATATCTTGAATATGGTTCACTGTCAAAGATTGTTGTCATTGAAAAAAATATCACTGGTGAAAAAATAACAACTACGATCAAGAAAGCCCAAACGTACTTGTTTAAAACCTGTTTGATAAAAAATAAGTTTTTGATGAGTGAATAGAAGGTTTATTATAAATTTTGAAACTATTTACCTCTAAATATGCATGCCAAGGAACATCCATGGTATCAACCGATTTGAAAATCAATACATCTTGCATTTTCAAGACATCAGTCGTTATGTCCACGAAAGAACGTTTTTCATTGGTTGTAACAACAGAAGTAACAATACTGTGCTCATTTGATTCCCTTCCTAAATCGTAGGTCAGATTTTTCTCACTATCATTATTATTCATAAATGAATGTACCTTGTTCTGATATTTCAAGTCAAATCCCAATGTCCATACCAACTCCTCCATGATTACTGAAAAATAATCTCGCTACAAACAGTATTAATCAAACTTTACTTTTTTTCCATACAAACACTTTTAATCATACAAGATGAAAAAATTATTTATCACATTCGTTCCGCACCTCAAAATCACCTGTTGCTTCGACGCCAGTCAGGTTCCTTCGTCTCTCAAACAATATTGGATGTTTTTTGACGACCAATGGAGTCCCTTTCCTCCACTCCAGGAATTCCTGAATGTGTAACTCATTTGGTAGTCCTACAGAATACCACTCTTTTATAGTGAAATCATCACCACATTTTACTAACACTTCGCTTGCAAAACTCAAGCCAAGATAGTTTTCTAAGGGATTCCGGCAAATGCTGTCTATCTGATGACTATCCTCCGACTGAAAAAGCAAAAGCCAGACGTGGGGGGATAAGCTGTTTTCCCTCGAAAAATTGACAAACTTTTCAAAATCGCTTTTACTATTTAAGAGTATGGCAAAAAGTGTCTTTGAATAAATTTTTATCTTAGGAAATTTTTCAGTAAAGTCTGACCCAGCAATAGCTATCGAGTAGAGCTGCGTATGCGAAAGATCTTTGAGAATATTCATAACAAATTGGGTATCTGTCATTAAAAAAACAAATTTTTTGTTAGAAAAAATTAATATCTTCAAAGAAAATTATTTAAGTTACTAACTTTCATCGCCGTTATAAATAATCACAACACTATTAATTCTATAAAATTTATGTAAATCAGCTATTAAATACGCATTTATTTTTCCACTGTCTGTTAAATGTTTGCTTGAAACCAGTGAAGCAAATGGTAACATTATAACTAGATAAATTAACCTCATCGTACGGCTACAACTGCTTAGTTTTCTTTCAAATCTAATGGTCCTAATCTTTCCAGAATCTGAAATTGAAAGAGTATGAAAATGTATCGAAGAAAAAAGCATGATTTCTGAATTTTTATTAATCTATACAATTCATGTTTTTCTGTAAGGCTTATCGTCCATAACAACTTTTTAACAATCAATACTATTTAGCCGTACAATCATTTCCTAAGCAGCAACTTTGTATTGGAGTATCTTCGTATCTTTCAGCCATGTGATCCTTGAGACGACGCAATCCAGTTTGATGCTCATACGTATCAAGCATATCGGTTTTTTATAACAATACTTTTAATTAGTATTATGAGTAAACGAACAAAATTTAGCTTTATTAGGGTAACAAATAACTAGTAATTCATTTTTTTGCAGATATGCTGAGATTACTAACTTAAAGTTAAAAAATATTTTGAAAACGTTAATTTAGTAATTTCGGCCAACTCAAAAGTACAGTACTATAAGCACGAAAAACTTTACAGTTACTGACTCTTACTCTTGACGCATTCCATGAAATTGAGATCTCCTGTCAGAGAAACGCTTTGTCTCTATCACTAGAATATAGAGAATACAACATAAAGGCAGAAAAAGGAACTCCCTTTGACACACTTTTTTTCTTTTGTCGTCAGGGACACAAATAGTACTATCTATGCGTTTAAGAAGCTTATCTTGTCCAGTTATTGTCTCAAGCCCTTTATCTCTGATGGCTTACCTCTACTTTAGTGTATGGAAAAATGTAGCAATACTATAGTATTCAGTATATAGTATTCAGCCAAGGACTTTCTTTGTCGTATTGCTGTGGATAATGTGCATGACACTTGTTTTTTCCACCATCAGATACGTAGCTATGTAAATAAAGTATCCAAAGTTATTCGTATACTCGTAAAATCTGTACGTGTCGCATGTGCTTTGTGTCATAATCTTCTATTCTTAGATTTAATCAGTACCTCTTTTGCGCTGCTGACCATCAATTGAAAACACGTGGATTTTTGTGTTTACTAAAAATAATGAGCTAACTAGATGTTAGAACCTCTATATATATATTTTTTTTTTTTGCTGTTAACTGTGATTTTATTAACTCTAACAATGCTGAGGGTTTTATAAAAATTACTTTCAGGAGAAACTCTAGTATCTTGTTACCTTTAAAAAAATTATTTGACAACTTACAATTTCTACTGTGATGATAATTTATCCTGTTTCCATTTCATTTTTCGTCGATTTTTAAATGTTTAGCGTGAGTTTTTCTCGACAAAATCACCAAAGCCATATCCTCAGTATCCTCACTCACTTGAAAAAAATCAATTTTTGATTGAGTTGTTTTTATTAATAACTTATCCAATTTCTATTTAATATTGTGATAAATATATGTACTGAGACGTGTTGCCTTTTGCGAAAAGTGAATAAGTAAAATAATTGTTACGGTAACTGTATATACCCAGTATCATAACGCATTACTAGTAATTAAAGATTAATATATTTTTTCCATTTAAAGATAAGTTATATTTTTTGTATTAACCACAGATTTTAGTTATAAACCCATTATATGTATGTTATATTTTCAGGGGCGACTCTCCATCTTCAAACCATAACTTAATGGTTCAAAGTTCAGTAAATTTTATTAAAGATAACAATTTCTTAAGGCCCAATATACATTGTATTTTGCACATAACTTTTCAAACTGGTACTCAAAGTCATGGATGATAGAGAGAAAAATTACAATCTTGAAAAAATAGATCTCTTACTCCATTAATGAGACCAATGAGAAATTATTTTAAACTCTTGATTAAAAAACAGTTTTATAAGTAGTAGATATGTAAGTCTAGTATGACAGTATTAATTTTGAGCGGGTACCTGATTGATAGCTTCTCCCACAGTTGTTGGCAATTCATTCTCGTTCTTCAATAGTAGACCCATCTTATGATATATATCATCACTTGAGTTCTAAGAAAATATCATAAAGTAATTGTTTTTAACTTTTTAGCTCATGCACACTGAATGAGAATTACTTAAAATTACCTTGAACATTTTTACATTGTCACTGTATTTTCCAACTATAAGTTTATAGGTTCCATCCTCGAGAAATCCACGAAAATCTCGGAACGGTATGGTAGGCAATGANAAATTTAAAATTCAATTTATTTTTTTTAAATACCGTATCAACGCACATTAACCCGCACTTATACACTTGTATAAGAACAAACATAAAAACTGTAACTATCAAACAATCAACATTGTGATACATGCATTGTTTTTTTTTTTTTTTTTATTCAGTTCAGACTTGGGCTAATTTGTTCACCTGAGGGTATGCCACGAAGTAACAAGTTTTCGAGGATTTTGGAAGACTGAAAACCAATGCAGTCTCTCGTTCACGCCACGTACTCCTTTGCCAAGTGCTACTTTGCCTATGCAAACGTCCTTGGGTCTCCGGTATGAGATTACCGAGTCATCGTCGTCACTCAGAATTTCGTTCATCATTGTCACACTGATATCGTTTCGCGTAATTTTCTTCAAAATGGAACAAAAAACATCATTTAAAAAATCGATGATGATGCAATGGTTATCAAATCTTACTCGTTTGATATAAAGTATTTAAAATAAATCTCTATTAAACTATTGGTTGCAAGAGAGTAAAAAAAAATCTAAATTCTAAATCTGTTATTAAAAAATTATGAAAGTTAAATAGTAAAGTACAAAAGTTGGAAAAAATAGATGTTACTTTGGTTGTACATTTTGATGTCTGAAAAAAATCTTTAAGATACAAAATTCTAGACCTTTGACAATATCAGTCCTGACGATTTCACGTAATGTTTGCTACTAAAAACTTTGCTACAAAAAAAA